TCTCGACATCGAAGGCACTGGCTCCATCCCAGAGCTACCGCCAATACCTCGATCTATCCCAGCATCAGCGACTGCAGGTACCGGTGAAGCCTCAGGTTTGTGCCATAGCAGCATTATTACCTACGAAAACACATGTATGTACATGTACAGAAGTAGACACGGTCATGCAAACGGCACTCCTAGCACTGTCTTGACTTCGAAGGCACGGGCTCCATCCCAGCATCCCCAATATCCCGATCCATCCCAGCATCACCGACTGCAGGTGCTGTTGAGGCCTCAGGTTTGTCTCAATAGCATCACTGCATTACCTGCAAAAACACATGTACTCCATGTATATGAGTATACACGGGCATGCAAGCGGCACTCCCAGCACTGTGTCTTGACATCGAAGTCACGAGCTCCATCCCAGCATCACCGCCAATATCCCGATCCATCCCAGAATCAGCGAGTGCAGGTACCCGTGAAGCCTCCGATTTGTACATGTGTCCATAGCGTCATTAAATCGATACACCCGGCAAAACACATGTACCCCTCATGTATAGAAGTTCCAGCAAGGCACCGGATCCATCTCAGCACCGTTTCCTGGGCCCGGACTGTTGGCAGCCTTAGCTGCGAAAGCATCTGAACCACCGGTGCCATCGCATTTTTTTGATTGAGGCTTCCTTCTGGTTGACATCCCACAAGCGCTCAGCGACAAATTCTCTCCCCACACAGTCTGTATTTATGTAATTATAATACATACCACACACGAAAGAAAGTACCACTGCACTTGTACAATATTGCACACAACACACCCAAAAACCCAGATCTGGGTTTGGGGAAATGGACCATCTAGAATGCAACACATTCTTGCACTCCAAAGCACCCGGTTCGCCTCCGCGGTAGTCACCAGGTCGCGGGCCTCATGCATGGTCAGCTAGCATGATAAGATCTGTATACATTTATAAGCACGAGTACACATGAGAACAGATGTCCTCCTCCTCGACAATCGCAAGCGACAACTCGGCTGCAGCTACAACCTCGATCAGAATATGTACAAGTGGATACCATGCATGGACTGCCCACACGTGCATCCCAGGAACATCCAGCTCAGAGTTCAAATCATTGGCCTCAGTACTATAGCATGCAAACATAGATGTGTGCATAAATCACTGCTGGAACTGCGGACACACAACTCTACTGACTCTTACCGTCCAGGCACCAATTTCCCAAGGTCCTCCTCATCACGTACCTTAGGCCCAAGGAGCTCGAGCACATGATGCATGATTCATCACTACGTATACGAGCATGCTAGCACTAGGGTCTACGGCTTCTTAGGATTGGCGATCGGGAATATATTTTATTATTGCACATACATAATAATGATCGAATACAATCCACGTGGCCTCAGCTCTCGAAGTCGAAGCATCGGGGCCCTTGCGTGCAGAAGTGCGGCTGGCATGTATATTATTATATAAGTGATTCACACATATCGTCCCCCTGGCTTTTCAGTCCTTCAGCAGCCAGTCGGGCAGCTCTTGAATCCTGAAAGTCCCATGGTGTCGATGGCGTCGATCCTCCTGAAAACGGTAAATCTTGCGATTTTCGAGGTTGATGAAAATGTTCCAGGGGCCCCATCACAATGCAGCCGTGAGTCCAGTTCCCGGTTCAGCAGATCTTTCTGTCTGATGGTCTCCTGTATCGGAACTACATGAAAAAACCAAGGTCGTGCTTCATTCATCATGATCTTAACACCACTCGTTCTATCCTCGTCAGCTTCAGGAGCATCCTCGTTGTCACTGCAGACGGTGACCAGATTTGACCCAGCATCTTGCTTCCCAGCCTGCTGCGGATGGAACACGGAACCCACATGTACAGTAAACCCACGAAAGCCCTAGATCAGTCTAAAGATAACTAAAGCAACTATTTTGTGCACCTGGCCATGCAACTCGAGAAGTGGGCAATCGGCATTCACACCCAGAGCGTCCTGAATTTGAAATATGTTTTCAATAGATCAGCAGTTGAAACCCCGGCAGCCCCATTACAATGCAGCCGTGAGTCCAGTGCCCGGTCCAGCTCCGCTTTCAGTTGGATGGTCCCCTGGATCGGATCTACATGAAAACTCAAGCTTAAGGTTTTGCTTCATCGATTCAATACCACTCGCACTGACCCCTCCTCATCAGCTTCACGATCATCCTCGCTGTCGTCATCGATGATCATCTGTGACCCATCGTTTGGCACTCCAGCCTGCTGCGGATTGAAACCCGCTGTAAACCCAGGAAACCCTTAAAGCTTAGCCTATTTTGCATTGAAACTCAGACAACTATTTTGTGCACCTGGCCATGCAACTCGGGACGTGGGCAATCGGAATCCACACCCAGACGGTCCTGCACTTGAAATATGTTTTCAACTCAAATCATTGCAGCAACTGAACCCCTGGCTCTAGCCTCGCCAATCTCATCGGATGGCGTCGGCTTCTCTTCGCCGGGAACCTTGGATCCCCCGACCAACTCAAACCGCACATTCAAACACACACTCAACCTCCGAAAGCACGAAGCCACAACGAAATATGTTGCGGTCCAAAAGCTTCCTCATCCTCATCGAAGATTTCAAAGATATCTCCGGCCTCCTCGTCATCGTCGGCACAATCATCGATGTCGATCACCTGCCGGGCTTAAGGAAAAGTCTAGATATGCATGGAAAGCCACAGAAATGGTAGATATAGTACTTAATAGTGTTCTTTATGGAAGCACCTCCGAGCTCAGACTCGACTCCGAGGATCTGCGCTCTGGCTTCTCGGGAAGGGAGCGGCCGTTCACGGCCAAATAAATCCCCTTGAGGATTTTCATCTCGTCACTCCTGCGATATCGATATATTATTCGATAAATATGCATGAACGATCAATGGTGATCATGAGCTGCGTGGTCCGGCAGTCCTCGACTGGCTGGTCCGGCAGACTGACTGCACAACATATGCAGCCAGCCATCTTAACCGTGTCCCCTGGAGCTCGGCCCAATCCTTCACCCGCTGCTTGCTACCCTTCGAAACCTTCTGGAGATTGTAGCAGCAAGACAAGTAAAGGACAGCAGCCCGGTGCTCTTTCATCGAGATGAGCTGTTTCCTTTCTTCCACGTTGTGGAAAAGCTGAGCCCCGTAGCATTTCATGACCTCAAAGTTCTTCTTCGACATCATATCATGCTGCGAAATGTTCGTGTCGAAGACATCTACCAGCTTGGTAGCCTGGGCTTCTGATCCAAAATAGAAATAGAAGCAGCTAGCAGACATATAGAGAAGCACACCAGCCGGAACATGCAACTCGAGTCGCCTTGTCTTGCCGAAGCTCCTCCAAGCGGGACTCCACCAGCGGGCGGAGGCATGCCACGATTCTCATTGCCGAATCCTGGGATTCGGAACACGTTCGATCTGCATATCAGGATGTGCATCCGGTGCAATCATATGCTGACTAGTTTCACTCACGAAAAACCGCAGGGGCCGTATAACCTGCTTACCGCGGATTAATTCGCCTTGAGCAGACCGCCGCACACCATCGAGGAACTTGAACTCTGGTTCTGCCATTTTGGCAGCGGATCCTTCACCTCTTGAAACCGTTGAACCCAGCCCGATCGGCATGTGATGCATAGAAGCTTAAGCTGAAGTGTTCTAGATCTGCGATCGGCCCCGAAGACTTGCAGACCGAATTGCAAACATCTGGACTGCCATGCACCCGTGCACATGCTCGCTCGGCCCCGAAAACTGCAGATTCATGAGCTATGCAAGGGCAAGGATTGCAATCGATCACTGCATGCATGGCCACTGCACACTCACAGCACGTACTGGCAGCTGATAGGGGTGGGCGCACCTGCCTTTCGCTTCGACGAACATTCGTGAAGCATGATCCAGCGGCCCGGCATTGTAAAAATGCAGTCAATTATGGAACCGAGCTCTAGACATGATATACCCCATACGGCCCATACATGTACACACGTCTAGCTACAGGCACATGTCTTCGAGCGAGCGAGTGTGTGCCAGATAAGGCGTGCACCTGCACTATAGCCAGCTATAATATATACATACATACATACATATATATATATATATATGTATGTATCCAGGCTCCACCTGCAGGCGAGCGATCTGTACTGCTGTACATGTACTGCACAGCTACTATACGTAGCTAGTACTATACTAGCTAGTACCGAGACATGCTGTATACACACATTTGCTCGAGGTTCCTCCTGCAGAACACGGCGGATGTAGACGTTACACGTGCATAAGCTCATTCGCGAGAACACACAGTACAAAAGCAGCACACACCTGTACATATTATATACAATAATTATATTACAAACGAATTCCCAGACCTACACTAGTACTAGTATTACTAGTACTAACCACCGACCCACAGTACTAGTACTGCTGCGGTACACACACACACACCACACACCACACACACACACACACACACATACTACTTACACTTACAGTACTTATATACAGTACCTACACTTGTACTTACACACCAACGTGCAGGCACACACACACACACACACTTACACACACACACAGGAAAGAAGACGGACATATATAAAATATTGTGACACAGTAAAGACAAATAACCCCGGCCCAGTACATCGAGACAAAGTAAAAATCAGGTCGATATAGGTGTCGAAACCCTCGAAAATCCATCGACGGCAAACCCAACCCATCAAGAGCGAGGTCGGGAAACCCCAGGCAAACCCAACCCATCAAGAGCGAGGTCGTGAAAGGCAAACCCAACCCATCAAGAGCGAGGTCGTCAAACCCCAGGCAAACCCAACCCATCGAGCGAGGTCGTGAAACCCTAATGCAAGTCGTACAATAATGCCGTTTCACTTGATGATCAATTGCAAAAACGTGTCATTAATCCTTCGAGATCGCCATACCCAAACCCATCAATAGGCATGGCTTCAAACCCCTCCAAATCTCAAGTAACGTCTGGGCACAATGTGTCCGCTCAGCACAATTTTGCCCAAGTATCGGCTATGACGATACATGGAGCCTTTGGGAATGGGACAACGGCGGTGAAGGCTGCTCTACAAGATGTCACCTTGTACCTGGAGGCCCATGGACTTCCGGTTTATCGTCTACATGCGGACAAGGGCGAGACCTACAACCACACGATCCGTTCGTGGCTTCGGGACCAAGGCATCAGAGCGACATGGTCAGAACCTGGGGTTCCTCAAGGGAATGGCCAAGCGGAGACAAGTGTGAGGTGGATAAAGGATCGGGCCAGGACGTTGCTGACGGCGTCAGGTCTTCCGGTTCGTTTGTGGCCAACGGCGGTGGAGGCGGCAACAGCGTGTCAGAGAGCAAGAGTGCTTAGTTGGAAACAGAAAATGTTAGTCCCCTATGGTTCCGTGGTGCACGTGAAGCAAAAGGCCTTTGACTCCAGTGGTCCGAGGAGAAGAGAGCGTGCCTTTGAGTCAAAGTGGTTCAGAGGGATCTACGTGGGACTGAGCAATATCCTGGACAATGGGCACGTGATCTACGTACCGGGCACCAAAGATACTAAGGAGAAGTTTGTGCATACGCTTCATGCTAGGAAGAAGCTCGTGGACCCAGGCCCGCCTGTCGAGGAGGTGGTGGTGGATGATCCTAAGCCCAGGAGGAGACTCGTGCAGAAAACACCACTGGAGGATGTGGAGATGCGGGCACTCAAGTTGAAGGGTGATGACCTCGATGAGTATATTAAGACCCGCTCAAGTATTTTGCTGAGTGACTGGGACCAGGAGCAAGCCACCCGCTTCGTTGAGGAGCTAGCAGAGCACAGCTTTTTCGAAGAGCATAAGTTCGGAGTCTTCAGGCATGGAGGAAGTGTTGGGTGGCTACGTGGTTTGGGAGAATATCCTGAGCTTACCAAACTCCTGAGCAAGTTGATCCTGCATGATAACCCCGAGGCAACGTTCACAGCGATTCAGGTCGCCCGGAACATGGACAAAGGGATGCACCGGGATTTCAACAATGACGAGCGTGCTGTGAACTACGTATATCCAGTCAGAGTTCCGCGCCATGGAGGTGATCTATGGGTCGAGTTGTGTAAGGGTGACGAAGTGAAGGGGGAGATCATGGAGCGTGTGGATGATCGTGGAAAGAGACTCTACGGCCAGCTTTACAAGATGCGACATGGTGTTACTACGGTGTTCTCTCCGAGAAGGACTCATGAGGTTTTACCATGGGAGGGAATACGGACGGTGGTGATAGCTTACACGCCGCAATGCTTGGGAAAGCTGAATCAGCAGATGGTCAACGAACTTGAGGCTCATGGTTTCTCGGTGCCGCTATCTCAAATGCCGGACTACTTTGTACCCGAGGGGGTGGAGCTGAATGTCGTGCAAGCCTCGGAAACACCTGAGGAGGAGAAGGAGTTAATTGAGACGAACTACGTTGATGATGTGACCGAGACCGACGTCGAGAATTGGGACATGTTCGTGGAGGCAGGGGACGGCCTGGTGAAGGTGGGAGCTAGCGACGAGACGCCTACAGACCAGGAGGAGCCGACTCTTCAGAAGGTAGAGGTCACATATACAAAGAACGTGGAGGAAATCCTTCGCAACTTGTGCAGCCCCCTTGAGGTGACCTACACAGTGGACCCGCGAGAAGTACATCAAAATCTTGAACTGTGGCGCTCGGCCATCGAGCGGGAGGTGTCGAGTGTCGCGGTGGCTATCTGCAAGCTTCTCCCGGGAACCCCGCAGAGAGCCGAGTGGATGCGAAGACCAGCTGCCCAGAAGCTTCCCACCAAACTGGTTTTTACCGTGAAACCAGGAGCCAACCCGGACCCAGCGGATGCCAGTACGTGGTTCAAAAGGAAGGCGAGGTTGGTGGTTTGTGGAAACTACGCTTCAGCAGATGGGTCTGACCTCTACTCAGAGACAGCACCGTCGGAGTCAGTGAGAATGGGTTTGGTGTACTCCATAAGACAAAAGTGGATGGTAGGCCTGATCGACGTTGTGGCGGCCTTCTTACGTACACCGCTGAACTATGAGGAGGGTGCCCCTACCATCATCGTCACTCCCCGTCGGCTGTTGGAGCGTTTGTCCATGATTCTGGAAGGAGAACTATGGGGCCTCATCAGGGCCTTATACGGGCTTCGACAAGCGCCGGCCCTTTGGAGCGCCTACAGAGACAAGAGGTTGGAAGCCATGAAGTTCCCCATGGGCATGAGGCTACATCGAGGACGGACAGTTACGGCATGGTGGGTCTTAAAGGACGAGAAGGGTAAGATCCGTGCCCTCATCATAATCCATGTCGATGATATCTTGCTGATGGGCGAGGAGACGGTTGTTCGTGATATTGCCAAAACAGTTCAGGAGGAGTGGACTACGTCGCGGCTTACCTTTCTTCGTCCAGGGGAACCTATACGATTTCTTGGTACAGAGATGGAGGTGGATGAGGACCACATGTCAGTGTACCTGAGTCAGCGGGGCTACATCGAGGAGGTGGTTAGGTCCTATGGTTTCAGTGAAGATGACAAGGCGAAGATTCCCTTGGCCAAGGACCTTGCAAGCTTCGAATGGGTCGAAGGGGACTTGGAACCGACTCCAGATGCGGTGGCGAGTGCTCAGCGCGTGACTGGCGAAGTAATGTGGATGGCTCACAAAACTAGAGCTGATGTGGCTTACACTTCGAGTTTGATGGCGTCGATTACCTTGAAGGCTCCGTACAGATGTTTGGACATTGGCTACAAAGTCCTCAAGTACTTGTATGGGACGAGGGAAGAAAAGCTGGCTATCCGTAATGATGGAACGTCACTGATCCTCTACCCGGACGCGGCCTTTGCTCCGAGCAGTGGGAGGTCACACACAGGATGGCTTGTGTGTTGGGGTGGAACGCCAATATGTTGGAGAAGTGGAAGACAAGCAAGCATCACGCTGAGTACGGCGGAGAGCGAGCTACAGGCCATCATCGAGGGCTTCATTGGCATGTTGGGGTTGGAGGCGATGCTCTTGGACTTGGAAGTGGAACCTACGGTCAAAGTGATAAGGAGCGATTCAACCAGTGCCTTGGCCATTGGAGCAGGAACCGGGAGCTGGAGAACGAGACACTTGAGATTGAAGGCATCCTGGATTCAAGAGATGATTTCACGTCGTGAGGTCATCGCTGAGCATCAACCAGGAATACATCAGCCAGCCGATCTACTCACGAAGCCACTAGCGGGCCAGCGTATTCGAGACCTACTACAACTGTGGGGTATAACGGATGGCCAACCCACCCGACCTTCGGCAAGGTGTACGTCATCAACTACAGCCATGACACGGATGCTAGTTGCAATGGTGTGCTGTATGTTAGTGTTGACTGTTGAAGCAAGACCACAGGCACCAGGACGGACCATTGAGGTTGATTGGGACATGGTTGCGATCTTTATGGGTCTACTGGATGGTCCTGGGGGGCTTGATCTTGTACGAGGCGGTCAGATGGGGCGTCGTCGAGGCCTACTACAAGTATCTTCCTGGGGCTTCGACGCGGAGGATGAGAAGGCTTCAGCGTTTAAGAGATGCAACGGCCATCGCCATTGAGCAGGAGCTGGCGCGGGCTTCTACAAGGGATCGAGGATCAACGGCATCTACTACTTCGACGATGGAGTCACGGAGAAGTAATCGACCAGTGACCCCACCGAGGTCAAGGTCACAACCAGTCGATCGATCTACGTCACCGGTGCCACCGCGACGGTTACAGGAGGTTTTTACACCCCCGAGACCTACAATGCCTACGACGCCTATGCCATCTCCCGGAGAAGGAGATGGTCAAGTACATCCTGACGAAAGCCATAGGGTATGCGTGGATACTGTGATGCTGATGAGAGTCGAAGAGATCAGAGAAGGTCTACGGCTCAATGGTCTGGTTCAGTCTGGCATAAAGCAGGACATAGCCACGAGACTGGCTCAAGTGTTAATCTTGCAGCTGGGAACCGGATCAGGACCTACCTTAAGGCAAATGCGATATCTGTTGTGGCTGTGGCGTGAAAGGAACCTGAGCGGCCGTACGCTGCTTAGTTGGTCATGCCTAAGATCCCGGGGCGATACGTCGCGGACCATAGCACACTGGAAGGGCCTATGAGAGGACACTGCAGCTCTGACAAGCTTTGTGAGGAGGAGTGCAGAAACACCAGTGCCACTATGAGTTGATCCGCGCCGCTCCACAGGGAATTGGCTACGAGTAGAAAACCCTTGAGTCATGTGATGTCCGAGCTGTAAAGATTTTAGAACGACATCACTACAAGCAAAGGAAACAGCTGTGACAACCTTGTACATTGAAGTCACACAGGCTTTGCATAGCGTTTGTCAACAGCACTGAAGGATCCAGCCGTTGCGAGTAAAAGTGCTAAATTCGAATTGCGGTGCGTCCATGGATGGTCATTTGTGTGCCTCTGGAGTGCTGCTTTGATACCCTGGGTCTCAGGGTTCAGTAGGTTTAGGGTTTCCGAAAAGGGAGGTTTGAGGGGCTGCAGGTACCCCTTATCCCTTAGAGTAGTTTGTGGAGGATTTCCCATCCATCCTCGAACTCTTGTCCAAGCCACTCTACGCGGAGCTGGACTTTGCTCGGTACAAGGTGGGACTTGGATTTCGGGTGATTTAGGGGTTGAGGGTTCAGGGCCCGTAGGCTTTGGAGTTTTGGGTTGGGTTCGGTGTTCGAGCTGATTTCGGGTTTAGGGACTTGTTAAGCGTACCTTGCTGGCTCATTAAACGCATACTGACTGTAAAATCGACAAACAGTTCCGACAAAAAGCTATTGCATTCAGTGGTTTACTGAATGAGAGTAGCAGAGCAGGTGACCTGTTGCAAATGTGTGGACTTGTGTATTAAAGCCGTCCTAAACCCTAAACCCTTAGCTGTTCCTTGTTTGGGGGGAGAAGGCGGCTGAAGAATCTCAGTAGCATCATTTCTTAAAACTAGGGTTCCTGCGCAGTGACTACTTGTAAAATCTACCCCTAAGCCCTGTTCTGACTATTAAGGCCCCTATGAAGTTCCAATTGGGTGGGTTCTTCTCCGGACCGTCAGTGTGTTCAGACTGTAGGGTTGGGAGCCTTGTTGCATCAGGCTGCAGGCTAACTTGGGTTTTAGGCTAGGATGCCCAGTAGTACCCCTATTCCCTTTTTGTAGTCCTAGGTTCCTTATAAAGTTACCCAATACCAAAAAGAGAGGCCTTTTTATTCTTAGGTTACTGGGTATTCCTAGTATCCTAGTAGGGTATCGCAGTAGGACTCAGCTGACCGGGTTTTAAGTTTAGGGTTCAGGTTTCAGTTTAGGACCCGTCGGTCGATGGACACGGTTCTCCAGCTCGGTGACCATGAAGCCCTAACGTGTGCTGCAATGTTTCTGCTTATCGAGGAACTTGTTGGCAAAGGCCGTCACAGAACCAATGTTAGCAGCATTTAACCGTATTGAAGTTCATGGACCAGTTTTGTTATTTGTCCGGTTGCGCCTACCTCCCCATCCCCCCTAAACCCTAAAGCGTCACAATAAACCATAAACCCCAAACTTTAGAACCTTCATACCTGGAGGCTCATATCCTACCCCTTTTTTGGGATACCGAGTTTTATGGTTAGGATCCGTTATCTAGGAAAAAATAGATACACTAAAACAGGGGTAGGGTATGAGCCTACAGGTAAGCCCCACACCAAAAACGGTTTTCGAACTCTTTCTGCTAAACTGCTGTGCAGCCCCCAGCGGCAGCCGTGGGTTGATCTTAAGGACTTTCTACAGGTGCCCGAAATCCTAAACACCGAAACCCTAAGCTCCAACATCCTAAAGCGCCATGACTATAAGCCCTGAACCCTACAAGCTTTCGTAAGTCAGCGGAGGCTTTCATTCTCAAAATACCTTTCCTGGATCAGCTCTATTCTTCCGGCGCAGGCGCTGGGCTTTTTCAGTTTCATTTCTGGTTTAAGGGTCTGGGGTTAACGATTTCGGGTCTAAGGGCATATGTTTTGGATCCTTGTTCATGAGGAGACCAGGCGCAAATAGCCGTAGACATTTGGTGTTTGCTGTCCATGGCTGCAACAATTGAACAAGGGCTACAATAATAGCCCAAGGGTCCATGTACTCATGCAGTATGTACTTTGGCCTTAACGTAGTCCCTTGGTGAGTACTTGAGGGCTGCAGTACGTGTCCATGGACCCTTACGGATATGGTGTTTGGTAGCATTCTTTGGGATTCAGCAGATTCGCATTTGGGGCCACTTGGAGGTTCATGGGTAGTTCTAAGTGGGGTTATACGTCCCCATATGGGTAATAAGTACAGTTACCCTACTCATAATAACCCTACTTATAACTACCCATGAACCTCCAAGTAAGGGCCGCGAAAGCATGCACATGCGAGGACTCTACGTTGACAGAGTGCTCCAGCAAGTCGCCCGAAAGGCACCGAGAATTTAGTTTTTGGGGCTCCATTGAGGTATTCGTAAAGGGCTCCCTTAAGGGATCTGTCAGAGGTTCTATAAGGTTTAGGGGTCTTTGGTTCAGGGTCTAGGGGCTTGGATAAGTACGAAAATTGCTCCTTGAGGTTCCTTATCATAACTATTCTGTAAACGGTCTCAAAACCCTTTTTAATGAGGCCCCTGCATTATTAAGGTTGGGTCTGGGGCTTGAGACTTGTATGCTTGGTATTTAACCTTGGGTTGTCTCTCCGAGGAGTATGCGCTTGTTTGATTTTGTCAAATCATCGCCACCATGTTATTTGAGAAAGGTTGCCTGAAACCCGGCAGATACTTTTCGCCAGCTTCGTTGTCTGGTTTCTGCGTTTCTGGAGCTACTGCCGTTTGTATTTCTTTCATGTGGGTAGTTGTCAAAATTATGGTCCCTTTTTGGGCACCCTAAATATTAGGTGCCGTTTTATCATAGGTACCCGAAAAGGGACTCCAATTTTGACAACCACCCATGTGGATAAGCCGATAAGCTTCAATCTTGTGTTCAGCTTCTCAGTCGAAAGGAAGTTGATGTCCAGGACAGAATCTCGCGCGATCTGCTTCGACCCAAAACTTGCCTTTGTTTAGTAGGGAATGGAAGAACGGTAGTAATAGTAGTTATAATTTTACCCCATTCCTCCATTCTCTACTAACCAAAGGTAAGTAAAACAAAACACCGAGCCAAACTCTGAGCCATCCTTCAACAAAATACGACCCTAAAGCCCATAGACCCCTAAGAAAAGGCTACGGCCGAACTGTGCATAGCTTTGCCATGACTAGTATTGTCATTCTCACTTCTTGAATTGTATAGTACATAATATACATATACATATATACACACACAGTAACTGTTTGTTGATATTATATGGTATTATTAGCAGTATTTTTGACATTGTGACTGATATGGTTGCTTTTGCGGTTATTAGTATTGAACGTACTGACATTCGTATTGCTGGTATCATCAATGTCACTGCTGTATCACAGGGTGCAGATGACAGCATCGAGTTTTACTTTGGGACCCTAACACCTACGAAGAACCTTTACGATGTTGGTACTTGCACGTTTTGGGTAAGGGTTTAGGGCTTAGGGCAATCCAAAGGTCCGCAGAGGGGCTATAGAAATGTTTCTCAGAAGGGTTCTTATGCTAGTGGTCATTTTTGGGCTTGACAGGGTTCAAACGTTCCAGAAGTACTTGGGTATAGGATTGTAGTTTTGTAGGCCGCTTCTTTAGATTATGTGTCTATTGACGCTTAGGGTTACCCACAGACTCCAGTATCCCGATGTCTGGGACCCTTACACAGGAGACCTATCATATTGTAAATGAAACTTGTTTTTTTTTACTAGGGTTGTGAACTCGCTGGGTGATTTAGGGTTTAGGCTTGCAGGCCTGTCAAGTTTCAGAGACCCGGGCTAATGGATCGGGGACCAGCCTGCAAAGGAATGGTTTTTCGCCAAGAGGCATGTTTAGCATGTTGGGACACGGGGGTTGAACATAACAATTTGAGGGCGACTCCCAAACCCGAAACCCTGCACAACCAGAAACCCTGACCCAGCCCTAAGCCGTGTAAACGCAGTGCCGAGTGCAGGCCGTGCTTCCTGTGGATGCGGCAGAGGCCGACATTGTGGCTTTGGCTCCATGTTAATCGAGGGCTAAGATTCGTTCATGTTGTCTGGTATGATTCATCATACAGTTAGTAAGTTGTCCTCTCTGAACCAACATGCAGGGCTACGACGAAATAAGTTTGCCATTATCCTTAAACCCCTAAACCTTTGATCACAGGAATTGCTGACGTGTCTCGTGTGGGTCTGGGCTCCGTGTAGTCACAACCTTCGTAGGCAGTTTCCGGGTTTCGGGACTGTGATGGGTTTGAGGGGATTCGGTATGATTCAATGATCGTCCTCTATTTTGGATGAAATGAAATAATTACATGAAAGGCATCTACAGAGATGTGGTTATGAAGGGTTGATGGTTCTGCACTGAAGCGATCCGAGTCATGCTTGCTTGCGTCTGATGTCAAACAGTAATGCCCACTCCTAGAATCGAACCGAGGTTAGGGATCTTTGGTGCGTTTAGGGTTTGGAGGGATTGAGGGTTTGGGCGAAGTGGAATGCCTGCTGCAAACCCTGAACCAGGAACCGAAGAAGTTTAGTAGCTGACTAGGTAACCTTTAACCTTTTGGCTTTATATAGCCCTACCACAACTGAAACGGCTAACCCTTTTTTGCGCTATGGTACCCAACCCCTAAGTCAAGGTTCAGAGTGTAGCATGTAAGATTTAGCCCTAAACCCTAAACCGTTAGGGCTTGGGGCTTAAGGGTTTAGGAATTGGGTTTGAAGGCCAAAAACAAGTGCTTGGAGGTTCATGGGTAGTTATGAGTGGGGTTATCAATTTCCTAATATGGGTTGTAAGTATAGTTACCCTACTTATAACCTCCATGAACCTCCAAGTATAGTACAAAGGGGTCAGCAGCTACTCTTGTTGGTAGGGTTCGGGGCTGCTGGTAAGCCGTGCAAGTCAAGTTCAACGAAGTCAGTGGTTGAGAAGTGGACAGGATGCGTAATGGCTGAGGGTTGTGGGGTCCAGGGTATTGAGTGTTTGGGATTTTAAGGGTTGCAAAGGTGTTATTTGTTCTTAATTGTTTATGCGATATACTGCCCAGGTCTTCTGCAACGGCGGTGATGCAGATGCTTGCTTCGTAACCGTCGACGGCTCTCTCAAGTATACACAGGGTGACCCTTGGTTGATGCATCTGCGGGTTGCTCACAACCTTTTCCGTTTAGAGTTTATCAGAGGGACCCTTGGGGGGATCAGGGGGAGGGGGGTGGGGGACTATACTTCCTTTCATCGGCTTTGTTTTGTCCTTATTATGGGCACGAAGGCCCCCCACCCCCCTCCCCATACCCTCCCAATAAAAGTCGCTATGAGTTTAGGGTATAGGCTTGCTAGCCTTTCTGCTACCCTAGGGTCTGAACCAATCCCCAACCCCTTGACCGCCAGCGGCGGGCTTGGGAGAGCAAGAGAAGAGCTCCGTTGTCTATGCCCCGTTTGGGCTAAGTCTTAAGGTGTTCTGGGGCACATGGCGGCGTGGTGGGTGAAACTTCTGTGAGAAAAATCTGGGACTAAGGACCAGGCGCAAGAAGAAATTTCGGATGAAGTCCTGCTCGCAGAGATGTGTTTGTGGACCCATTGGAACTATGCCGCTGGGACCGAGTCTTTCTGAATAACATGATTTGGGTCAGAACAGTAAAGCTTGAGAAACGGAGCAGACTGTGAAGTGCTAGACCAACGGCAGCAAATAAGATACAGTAGTTCCAGGACCCTCCTTGTACCCTCAAATAGGGGTATATGGTCCCAAATAGCGGGTACTTGGGTTCTAATAGAGGGTAGATGGAGGGTCTAGGTCGATATACTCGACTTTGTGACTGCTCTAGTCCTGTTGTGGCGTCCTGCAAAATCGTTTAGACGGTTCCCGACCTGTCTTTCGTCACATCTTCAAGTTAGACGTGAACAATGCCCTGCCGTGCAAGACCTGGAAAGGGTAGACCCTCAAACCTACACATTGCTAAGCCTGCACTCGTAAAACCCCCGCATCTAATACCGCAAGAACCCAAGCCTGTGCACTCCGGGGATCGGAGCTGTCACATGTCAGACACTAGTAGTCATTCCGTTCAGGCGGCTGCAATGCGAGTTTATTCGATTGATCTTACGCTTTGTTCTGGTCGATTAGCAACGAAGCGAAGATGCCAAACCCCAAAGCACAGTGGTAGGAGACGTCGGGTGCTATGTATATAGATTCAAGGTTTGAGTTTTCTAGGTAACCGACGAAGCCCAGGGGTAGCGTAGAGTTGGTGTTTGCAGGCGTGGTAGCTGAAAGGACCCTGCATCGCACTCGAAGTTCTCACCTTAGACCCTACACCCTCAACCCTTGTAGAACCTTGATAATCGTGCCCGCTAGGAAGCCCTCAATGAAGGAACCCTGCGAAGAGCCCAAGAAGAGCTTGACACCCCAATCTTCAAGACTTTGAGGCCTTACCTAGAGGCTCATACCCCACCCCTTTTTGACGGCGTCTACTCTTTAAGATAACAGATCCTAACCATAAAACTAGGTATCCTTAAAAAGGGGTGGGGTATGAGCCTCTAGGTAATCATTAAGTAAGGGAATCCTATGGACCTGGAGGTTGGCGACCTCATCTCCCTGACATTCTCCAAGTTGGCAAAGCTCGATGCAGAAGCGGTGTGCGGGCGCCATGCTTCGCAGGGACTTCACAGAGTTTACAGTGTACCTGTAGCCTACAGTCTCCATTGTAGTTCCTGTGTTTGGTTCAACCAAATATGTAATTAGGATCCTATAGAGTAACCCCCAAAAAGGAACTACAGTGGAGACTATGGGTAGTGCTGATTTCTCGGCTTGAGAAGAATACGGATCATGTCGGGTTTAGGGCTTTTGCTTCCGCCTGTGTTTCGGGGCTTTAGCGGAAAATGTGGTGATGATAGTAGGGGGGCATGTTGGGCTTCGCCATCCTCATCATCATCATCATCATCATCATTATCATCATCATTATCATTAATTATGACTGTGCGTCGTTGAGTTCGGACTGCTGCTGTGGTTGTACTTGCTGTCTGTTCTCGCTTGCGACAAAGGTGCGTCAGCAGTGCTGTGGAGCTTCAGAACGAAGCCTCGCGCTACGCGCGGAGGTCCACCCCCAGCTCCCCCAAAACTCACAAAATCCACGCTCCGAAAACATCCTCAGGGCTCATGTGCCTCTAGATACCTGGGCACTTTTGGAGTTCTTAGTGCAGGGGGGTGAGATGCAAAATGTAGCGTTCGAAATACTCAGATTGCAAGAGTCTTCCTCAGGGTGCCTCAGTATCAGCATAGTATTCTACACCCTGAACCCTACAGGCCCCCCAAATCCGCATTTTATAATAATTATTATTTATTTTAAAATTATTAATTATTAAATATATTAATTAAAGTAAAGTAATTATTACTATGCACAGAAACGAATGCAACGTTTCAAGCTTTTAGGTTGCATTAAAGGGCGCGGCAACACAGAGGCTTGCTGCCACAAAGCTCGGAGTACAGAGGCAACCCTAAACCCCTAATCCCTACCTAGAGACTCATACCCTACCCCGTTTTAAGGATGCCTAGTTTAATTAGTGGTTAGGACCTGTTATCTTAAAAAGTAGGCGCCCTCAAAAAGAGGTAGGGTATGAGCCTCTAGGTAAATCGACAACCAAGCCGTAGAATGTAAGACAGAAGCCCCTCTACAGGTTTGGATATAGTCTCCATTGTACCCCCTTTCCTTTGGTTAACCAAAAACTCTATTATAGGATCCTAACCATAAAACTGGTTAACTTAAAGAAGGAACTACAGTGGAGACTATAGGTGGATATACCTATAGTCTCCATTGTAGCTCCTTGTTTTGGTTTAAACAAATAATTAGGATCCTATAAGGTAACCCCAGAAAGGAACTACAATGGAGACTGATGGAGACTATGGGTAATGCCCCATCAGCTCCAAATCCTGAACCGTCAAAGTCCCTAATCCTATATCTGATACTTTAGAAGCTGTCCCCACCCTGTAATAGTGACTGTAAGGATTATATTAGGGCCCTATTATATTCCTATTATACCACTATTACAGGGTGGGGGCCCCTTCTATCTGATACTCCACCCTGCAACCTGGTTCTCTTAGGTCTGAAAGCCCTTAATCTTATCAGGCCGAACGGCAGAGTTTTTCATAACTGGGTGGCACTTTGGGATGTGTATCCGTTTCCTTTCATGGTTTCTCCTGTTGCTGGAGTGGGATGCCAGCACGATTAGATGCTCAGATCTACTAAGCACCAGGCTGGTGTCTGCCGCAAACTGCCATAACCTACTTTTTTGCTGGTCCTCAATATGAACCCGAATACAGGTTTTAGGGCAAGGTGCGAGTGCAATGCAGCTGTCGGAATACGTGCTCACAGTATTCCCGCGTAGTCCCTGCACAATTGTAATATACTGTATCACCACTCGACACCCTGCCCCTTAAACCCTTCTTCCCAATCCTCGACTGCACTGCCTTCTCTAAACGGCCAGGTATGTGCACGCCTTGAACATGGAGGTCGAACTCACAGATTTGTGGGCATTGCCTGCAAGCTCCTCGACTCATTCCCTTGGAGCTTTGGGACCCAGAACAGGATTCAGGGTCCTTTCCCAAAGGGTCCTAGGTATTGTTATGGGGTCTACTTCCCCAAATCATAATAGCAATTCCCAAGATAGAAACCCTACATTCTACTATATTTGGACCCTTTGGGTTTGAGAGTTTCTATCAGGGTTTGACCTCTCAGGATGCTACGGGGTTAAGAGTGGAGGGTCAAGGATGCAACCATCTAGTCAGTCCGGTTGGTTGCCCGTAACTGGGTCTGAGAGGACCTCTTGTTGGTAATATTGAGTTTGTCGAAGGTTTTTGTTGACCAAACTGGTCATTAACACGATCACAAAGAAAAGCGCGGTATTCTGACAACGCCGTCACCACGATCATCAGTTGCTCCCACCATGCGCAGTGTGTCCTACGCCCATGTGAAGATGAGCTTGTGCCGAACGAGGTTTACCTACAAAGGATGTTTTTTATAGAACACCTCTCAGCCCTGAGTAACCGCGACTGCCTGCCGCTGATTTGCAGTTTCCAGATTGGTACTTGCTGTCGGGCAGAATTATCCATTGCGCAGGAGCTTTTTCATAGCTCTTCAAACAGATGCACAAAGGTTGCAATGATACGCCGCTGCATTCTCTGTACTATTCCATAGTATGTCCCGGACCTGATTAATTGTAACGCGTTGGATTTCTACCAACACCCGAATTACATGGTAAGACCTTCGGGTCCTTGTTCAGTACAGGACATTGGGTTTGATAAGGATCTACAGTTCCGCATGTTTTTGTTTATGCTATTTTCCTTTCATAATTTGATATACGAAGGTCTACCCATAATAAATGGCATTCCTATAGACCCTAAATGGACCCTAAATAAAACCCTAAACCCTAAGGCAAAGCTCCAGGCCATGCTAAACCTCAAACCCCTTATTTGAACCCTATACCCATAGGCTCCATAGTAGTTCCCTTTTGGCGATTACATTTTGTATAGGTTACAGGATCCTAAATGTATGAACCACAAAAAGGAACGACAATGGAGCCTGTTGGTAAAGCCTAACCTCACCACAACGTAAACTGAGGCATCAAGCCGCCAGAACCACGCTCGGCCGTGTCGATCATCCCCTCTCTTGGTCGGATGCGTGGCTTCCTTTGCACTTCCAGGCTATGAACAGGTTCAGGGTTTGAGGTTGAGGGTTTTTACAGAGTCCTTGAATATATGAAAGGTTTTTCAAAATGTGTTGGTGGTTCTAGGGCAAATATCATATCTTATAAATATAGACACACACTTATACACATAATGTGTATGTATATATATATATACACACACACACATGTACATGTTTTATCTACCCATATTGATTCGCACTTTTTCCATACATATCCATATGCGTGTATTTGTGCGTATACGTATATGTTCATTTACGTGCCTGAGCGAGGGGCACGGCAGTCTTTGCCGAATCGTTTGCGTGGTGTTTCAGGTTTGTGTGTTGGTAAGTTGTCACAGACCCCTTAAGGGTCCATGTACCCATATACTAGTACCTATAAAAGGATCACTTTAAGCCCATGAATCTATACTGTATACAGGTACACGGACCCTTAGGGATCTGCAGCTTGCTGCCATGGCCGAGCTCAGGTGCCGCACCGGAGGTACCTCGGCTTCGTTGTGAGCCATCTTCGTTGTGAACACCGGGAGCAAGACATAATAAGGCTGAGATCCAAATTCCTAAACCCTAAACCAAAGCAACAATAGTCGAATCCTGCTCGACAAAGTGTGAATTTGTTGATGACGTTCAGTCGGTTCCTGCGCCCCTGATACGTTTGCTTTACACAGGACAGGCCTTCTGCTGAAGCTAGTCACCAACACAAACCCTGAACCCTAAACTACTAAATTTACTAAATCCTGAAGCAAATCCCAAAATAAACCGAAAGTCGGAATCGTTAGTAAGAGGACCTGCTCTCTGTCCGTCCCTAATCTAATTCTGTTCCTATATGTCCCCCAAACGGTGTCCCAAGTCTTAAGCCCTTTGCAGTAAAAGCCCAATGGAGCACCAACAGGGTCCATGTGCTCATGTAGTACTTGTAGTATGTACTTTGGCTTATCGACACTAAAGCCTATAAAGTCAATCCTTATAGTACCCTCAATTATAGAAACAAGGCTTCTAGTACCCTTGTATAGACCCTCAGGGCAATAGACAAGCAGGTCGGCAAGGATGCGGGCAGATGGTGCCGGTGGTTTCCGCTTGGGGCTAGACGCCCGCTTCCTGAAGCTCGTGTGTCGCCGGCATAGGCCAGTTTTGCAGTTTGAGGGCTTGGGGTATGCGGTAATTATACCTATAGTCTCCGTTGCAGTTCTTTTTTTGGCTTAACCAGTTTTTTATTATAGGATTCTATAAGGTAACCCCCACAAAGGGACGACAATGAAGTCTATAGGTAGGGCTCAGAGCCGAGAAACTATCAAGTCTCATTTTTTGAGATTCGTGCTTGGGGTGGGGTGGGCTTGAGGCTCGCGGTCTGAGGCTGCAGCTGCTGGATATGCAGGTTTAAAGGTTTAGGGTTTAGGGTCTAGTACATTTGTGTCAAAGGAGTTGATGCTTTTTCGGAGGATTCGGGATCCTGCTTGTTTTTGCTCGGCTGGACCCGGCAAAGCGTAAAGATCCCAAACCCTAAGTTACAATGAAGCTGTTGAGGTGGTTGACATGTTTGAAAAACGTTTGCCCCTGCACCAATATGGAAGCCCGTCGAAAACCGTAGACCTTAAATCCTCAAACTCGGCCTTAGAATCCGAAACCCTATCCCGAAGGGTCCATGTACCCATATAAAGATACATGAGCCCCAAAGTACCTGTATAGGAACTACATGAAGGCCAATGTATATACTACATGCGTACATGGACCCTTAGGGTATATGAATCCTAGGCCCCTAACCCCTATCTTCTTTGATCGCATATTATAAGGTCTTTTATAACAACCCTCTAATCCTCAAACTTGGCCTTAGAATCCTAAGCCCTACATAAACCCTAAACCCCTAACCCCTATCTTCTTTGAGAATCCGAAACCCTACATAAACCCTAAGCCCCTAACCCCAATCTTCCTTGACAGCATATTACAAGGTCCTGTAATTTGCGGCCCTTGAGTTGGTTGTCCCAGCACCCCGGAATACGATTCAGGATTTTGGGGTTGGGGGTAGGGTTTAGGGTTTGGTGATTATTGTTTGCGATTTAGAGGTTTAGGGTTTAGGGTTAGGGGTAGGCTGGCTACTGCAAGTGACAGGTGGAGAATGATGTTCCCTGTGATGTTGGACTCCCCGGCTTCTGTTCGGAGTCGATGGTAGCATGTCGGCCAGGTGATCCACGAGGTCGCAGACACGAACAACCTGTACAAAAGGTTCTATGGATGGAGCCCATGACTGCGACCGTAACGTGGCTGCACCACAACATGCATTGTTTGCAGGGCTTCTGCTAAAAAATGGGCGAGAGTGCCGTTTGCAGGTTCGGATTGGGGGCTTAAGGTTTTGACGCCTATCTGCCGCGCACAAAGTTGTGAAAGCCTGAAGTCGTTTTGTGTATTCAGACCGGGCTGTACACGGCAGGGTTTGGTCGGGTGTGAGGTTCCACCTTAGGTTCGTGCTGAGACTCGACCCGTTGCGCTGGTGGTGGTGGCGGTGGTGATCTTGTCATGGCGTTGTTTGCTATGTTTTCGCTGCCACTCTGACTCCACCTATAGTCTCCAATGCAGTTACTCTTTGGGGCAACTAACATAATATAGGAGGCCTTAACAACTAGAATAGGGTTCCTTTAGCGGGGTCTATATAGGATTGTATTTCAAACAGCTCTATAAGGGACCTTCAACAGGGTTCTATCATCTAGTCAATATTTTGAATATATATATATATATATATACATATATATATATATATATATAACTGAAATAAAGAATGCCCCAACACTAGTATAGGTAATTGTTAAGGCCCCTATATTACATGTCTTCACATTCTTTGCATTTCAGGGTTTAGTGAGGTTGAGGTCTGTCGGATGTTTAGAGTGTAGCACGTGGCATATTGGCTTAGTAGCTGAGTAGGCAACCTGTAACCTTTTGGCGCCTATATAATTCGACATACTTCAATCGGTTAGCCTTTTTTTGGGCTAGAGTACTCAGCCCCTAAGCTGGTGGATTGCTCATTAAACGGCTGACAACTGCCAGCTGCTAGCATGGACGTCTCTTGACCCTTCACAGAAACCTAGTCCGGACGACCAGGAGCTCAACAACACCCTGGTGCACAATAGAAGCCTTAGAAAACTTGCCCATGTGCTTGCTCTAAACCCTAGAACGATCCATAACACTAAACCCTAAACCCTAAAAGGCCCTAAAACCTTCCCTATGAGCACAGTCTGAACTAGTGTAAACAGTTCGGGTGTTCCTTTGCACTCCTGCTTTCTCTGGGCGAAGCGATGCTCCCGAACTTAGCCTCTTCATGATGTCTCGAAGACAGTTAGACTTTGGGGTTTTTGTGGTTAGGGCTTCTGGGGATCATCCATGAAGTCGTGGAGGCTGTCATCAAGCTGAGCGGGACCAAGCATGTGTGAAGCCCGTGTGCGTTTTCACTTGCTTGGCTGCTTTGTGCACTTGTGCACAGCTGCCTCTGCTTGGTCATGAGGCCTTTAATTCTCTCCACAGGTCTCTACTGGCTGATGGACAACATCATTCACTACCTTAAGTACCCGAACTCTTTGCAATAGACATGCCATAATCTTGCACGCGTAAATGCAGCAGTTGTCCAGTGGCAGTAAATCATGAGACATCTGGCAGCAGCCTCGTGGCGAGGATGCCGGCGAATATGGTCCTGGTGTGCTCCATGGCTTGGCCTTGCACAAGCGTGTGTATAGCATACATGCATATGTATATCTACTATCTTCGCACACAGCCATACATACACATATAATACCTAAATGTGTATCTACATGTGTACCTTGTATTTCTTGTGTTTTCATTGTTCATGTATGTAGCTGTATGTATTAATTAGTGTACCTGTCTGGGGCTGATCTTTAGGCATACACATACACTTTTTTGACTATGCGCGCACAGATCGACCTACCTGTATATGTTGGCAGTGCGAAACTAAGGCGCTCTCTCTCTCTCTCTCTCTCTCTCTCTCTCTCTCTCTCTGTCTGTCACGGATGTCTCTCTCATGTCAAAGCAACCAAGCCGGCAGTACACCAGTTGATAATAATCTTCCACAAGCTGTTTTGTAGAGCTTCCGCATCAGACATGGCTTTCGCTTCAGATTGCAATGTGTTCTCCCGATCCGGCAGGGAACACGGTCGGCTTGGAGAGCCTGTTGGGGGGTCGGGCCTGCGTGAACAGGGTTTAGGGGGTTTAGGGTTTGGAGTGTCGGGGGTTGAAGGTTTAAATGGGGTTTGCATAGGATTTATAGGGTTCCAGGGCCGGGACGAAGCTCAGGGCTGCTGATTGTGGCTTTCAGAGTTTAGGGTTAGTGTGTGCGTGGTTCGGCGTTTCGATTGTAACCTTCGACGTTTGTTAAGGCATTAAACGAGGCTCAACATGTTGGCATTAGTCCGCAGTGCAAGTGCGACCTGGTCCGTGTCCGCCGTTGAACGCTGCGTACCTGCTTCCTATCTGTATGTGATGCAGCTCGTAAGAAGGTTGTGACTGTCTTCTCTGCGGTCGAGCTTGAGAAGCCCTAAACCCTAAACCCCTAAACCCGTAAACCCCTAAACCCTAAACCCTAAACCCCTAAACCCCTAAACCTTAAGCCCTTAAACCCTAAACCCCTAATTTAACCCTAAACCCTAAGAGTTTGAAAACGTGAGCTTGGTCCAACCCCCAGGAACTGAACATCCGCCATAGGCGAAGAATGTTCCGAGCGAAAGCGAGGAATCCCGCAGGGTCCATGTGCCTAAATAGCACATACTTGGGCCCTAGAGTACGTATACAGGGATTACCTTAACCTACTCAAACCTACTTTCTTTGGCTTCTTAGTATAAGCCCGAATATGAAAAATTGTAGAGACCGTACAAAAAGGTAGTTGCTATAGGTTAAGGTACTTTAATGCCAAAGTGTATACTACATGAGTACACGGACCCTTCGGCAATTTTCCGCTTTGCAAGCGGCTGCTGTAGCCGTTTGAAGTTGGCCTCGCTCCTAGCCGACTCGTTGGTAACAGCTGGTAATAGGGTTTAGGGTTAGGTTATATACTCTGTCATAGTTGGGTAGCATGTTACATCTTTATGCGTGCTAAAACCCAATAAGGAATACAAACTTAAACTGTTAATCCTATCCCGACCATGAACTAGGTTAAGGGTATATGTAAGCAGGAACCACTGGTCAGTGCCACTGTTACTCTTTTTTGATTTTGATTCTGTCATACCAATACTCTATTCTGATTGGTACTTGCTGCCCCTCTGTAATAGGCTTTTTTTGGATTCAGCGTTCGGCGTCTCGAATCCGAATCTTTGCAGACGCGAAGCCCTAAACCCTAGCGGTTCAACGGTCTTGGGAATTGCCGGGTGTTTGCTTGTTTTGACTTTCAATGAGTTGAGGTTTAGCGCTTACGGTTTGGCCATTAAAAGGGTCAGGTCACTTGGTGGTTTTCACAGAGAAAAGCACTATACCTTGAACCCTCGCCTTGTGCGAACTGAGGAATGCTCAGGGTACCCAGACCTTCCAGATTCCTCGGGAAAGGAATAAACCCTAAACCCTAAACCCTGAAACCCTAAACCCTGATCTGAAATTACCTTGCCTTATTGGAAGATCTATCTGTGTATCCCTCTTTGGGGGACTCAGGCTCCCTCTTGGGGATCCTGATAGATTTGGCTTCAGCGTGTGTTCCTTCCCCGCCCCTTCAGAAAAGAAACAAACCTGGTCTTCTTATGGCTTTATGTAAGGAACTCAGAATGAAGAGCTCAATGCAGGTTTCTTAAGTTAGGCTTCATGTGGTTTTAGAGCATACGCAGCATTTATTATGATGCAAGGAGGACGTTCTGAAGTGGAACGAAGCCCTTGCTGCTGCAGAAAGCGAGGGGTCCGGAATAAGTCATAACTCGTATACCTATTCGAAATATTTCTGTAGGCCACACACAAAGTAGTTCCTTTTTGGGGTTCATATATAGAATCCTATAAGGCAGTCCCAAAAAGGAACTACTTTGGGGCCTATGGGTATGCCATAACCACAGCCTCGAAGCCTCTATACCCTCAACCCTTAAGCGAAGATTTTTGCCTCCAACGGCTGATGATATAAATCCTGCATTACCTTAAGGAGCCTAGACTATGG